ACATCATTTCAAATTTCTAATAGCTACATTTTCAAAGTTTTTAAAAAGTGAATTTAGTGCCAGGCATGGTGGTACATGCCTAGAATCCCAGCAACACAGGAAACTGAGGCAGGAGGATCACAAGTTCAAAGCCAGCCTCTGTAACTTGGGTAACTTAAAGCAAGACCCATATGAAAATAAGGAATGTAGCTCAGTGGTAAAGTGCCCTTGGTTAAATTCCCAGTATATAAAAAAAAAATGAAATTAGTTAACATATTATCTAAGTAGATATATCCAAAATATTATTTTGATATAAATCAATATGCAAAATTATTGACTTTTTAAAAAATAAAATTAAGTCTTGGAATCTATGTAGTTTACATTTCAATTTGAGGGCTAAGTTTTCATTGGAAATATTTGATCTGCATTTTATTTCATAAAACTTAAAGTAAGCAAAGTAAATTTGTATATTCAAATTGTTCCAAATACATATATTTGTGTTCTATTATCTGAATTAAACATTGTTTTTAGGCTTAAATTTTTAAATATAATTCAAAATTCAGTTTTCTGGTTACACTCTTCTTATTTCAGGATGAGTAGTCACATTTGGGTATAGGCGACTGTGTTAGCCAATGCAAATTATTATTTCTTTTAATAAACCTTTCCCAGATATGTTCTTTTATTTCCAAATTCCAGCACCTCCTATCACCTTAAAGCAGTGCATTCTGGTGTAGGGAGAGGATATCTTCAGAGCTATTGGCCTTGCTTCTGCCTTCTCTAAGAGGAGGCGCTCACGGGGGAAATGGCATGGCCCCTTTGCTTTGTTGGCACACCACTCCTGGTGTGAGCTGTTCCTCAGTGCCCTGCCAAGCACTACCAGTCCACTCTCCCAGGTGAGGCAGAAACCAGGGATGTATCTTCAGGGCCTTCCACATACAGTGAAAGATCTCCTCTCTGCTGACCAGTGTGGGTGATCAGTGTGATGGAGAGTCCGTGGGGAGGCCATCCCTGCATGTCTGACCCCATCTGCCCATGTGAGGTCACTGAAGCAGCTGGCATGCCAGGGACCAGCTGGCTTTCTCTCCAGTGCTGAGGTCAGGCTGGTTAGTAGGATGAACAGCACACTCTGGGGAAGGAAGACAGACTGAGTGCTAAGACAGATGGTACCAAGGCCAGTGCTCATGAGTCCAGAGGTACCACTCCCTGCCAGCAATGTGGACCCTCTGTTCTTTGGGGATATCCAGCCACACTTTTTTTTTTTTTAATAAGGACATCATGTGTCTTATCTAAAAACTCCTGTGACTAGGATTTCAGAAGTCCCCCAGGTTGCTTCTCATTTATAACCATTGACAGATTTAGTGATCGTTTTCTTTCTTGTCCCCCACACCACTCAGAAACTACTCAAGGTCTCTTGATACCATCTCTATCTAGGATGCCAAAATTAATGAAATGACAATAGATCCATTTTTCTTGGTGAAGGAATAATATTTTGACTGTCTCTTAGGGTGAGGCTGTGCTGCTGCTGCTGCTGCTGAGAAAACTGGAGTGGGTGCAGCACAAAATGGTTTTCCTTCCATCAAAACATATACTTACTTTGTCACTGAGAACCTGGAGTAGGCTTAGAAAAGTCATCTCTTTTTTCATTTTTGCACTTTCCCCCATTTTCACTAATTTATACATCACCTCCCCTTCCACTTCTCACACCACTACAAATCTTTTCAAAGTGCACAGCTATTGTAACTTCAGAATCTCCAAGTGGCAGTGTCATCTCCATAGAAATCGCGTGCATTGTTGTTTGTGTCTCCACATTGTTGAGCTGAATTGACAATGTGAAATGACAACTCAGCATAGGCAAGTTATCAATCGGCTGAACTAACTTTCAAAGCTTGCCATGAAATCTTGGAGAGGTATATGCAAAAATCGAGGAGGAAGAAAATTCTCTGGCTTTGGTATTGAAAGACTGTAAAACCTCCCAGTGAATTGCTTTGGCTTCATTTTCAGTGGAATATTTAGTCACAATTGTTTGATTCCTGGATTTGATATTATTTGGGGTATAACCACGACTCCATTTGCCAAACTTGAAAGTGGTTTTTATTTTTATTTTTTTGTAATAGTTTCATGGTCTAATGAAGCATAGGCAGCAAGTACTCTCGATGAAACTCATTAGCCCTGGTAAGGAATTAAGAATTAATGTGGAATAAAATGAAAATTTTAAGAGGAGTCACTTTTTGCATGGCTCCTAGTGAAAAGGGACAAGCAAGAAGACGACTGGGACTCTTGGCTGCAGAGTGCTGGCTTCCAAATTGTGCTCATCAAAGCAACCTTTCAGGGGAATGTTGGGGGAGCCAAAGCGATGGGGCTCCAGGATACCATGCCTTCAGCTCAGCCTGGCAGCTCTACTGGTGCACTCATTCTACTTGCCTTTCCAGTACAACTTAAGAAAGTCCTCTTTGGCTAGTAAAAGGTCACTCCTGTCCTATATTTTGAAAGGATGGTTTGGGAATTCTTGCACTTGGGATTTTTATAAAATAAGAATAAAATTTTTTTCCCCTTGGGAAATCACTGAAGAATTGTTATTCTTTTCCTTGTCAGTAGCTTTGACAGTCCACAGGCTGATAGCCACATCCTGTGCAAGTGCTGTCCTTGTGGAGTGGGACTGAGGATGGACATTGCTCCAGAGTGACCGAACTTTGTATCATTGTTTCCTACAATGCGGTGTCTGCATCCCATTCTTGTTACAGTTGGGGACCTGCCATGCTCCTCAGACACACAAGTATGCACTGGCTAGAGAGTCACTTCCGGTTTGAAGATTTGTACCAGTTCTATGGTCTCCCCAAAGACATCAAACTTTTAAGACTTACATAGAAAAGTTTGAAATGAAGGTTTCTAAAAGTTCTTTTAATGCCTCAATTTCAGCCATAATAAAGCTTTATTTTGTTATTGAAAATATTAAAATTGTATATTATTTAGGGTAGGGGAGCCAGCATCCCTAGGTCTCTTGGGTCCATGTCTGTGTATAGAAAATAAGTACAAGAAAGAGACTAGGAGTTTCCTTACAGGATGTGTGCTGGATGGAGAAGGGGCTGAGCCTTTAGTCTTCTGATAACAAAAACTTAGGACCACAGAGCCAACTTCCTTGGCAGAGTTTGTTTGGGGTTCCAGTTTAGAAATGGAAGGCTTATTCAAAGAATAATTTTCTATAAGAAAGAAAATCCAAATAAACATGTTGTGCCTTAGTTTTTATTTTTAATGTATTTTATAAAGGATAATATGAGTTAATGAAAATTCACACCATGGTGTCCTAAAAGTCATGGTGCATTCTCAATTTCTGGTTACTTGGGGCGGGGGGAGCAAATAACTTTTCTAGACCTAAATAGATTGAAATATATTGAAATATACCCATGGCTCATTTTCCTATTTTTTCAGGTGTGCTTTTGCTCATGGAGATCAATGAGACATAAAATGCTTTGCCAGCCTCAGATGGAAACGTTACCTTGAACAAGGGTACTTATAAATACAGAACATTTTAAAGAATCATTAGTGTCTATAAGGAATTAAAAGAAAAGGTTCAGGAGCCAGTGGGAAAGCAGCCAGTTTTCTAGTTGGCTGTCCTCTTCAACTTGCGGAAAATAAGGAAAAGAAGTTGTATGAATGTTCCTCAAAAGTATAGGGTGGTTTAAATGGGACAAAAGTACAGAAAGTGTTCATTTTAACTCTTTTCTCTACCCCAATGATTAGTTTTACAATAAAATATCCTGGTACAGAAACACTAATTTTTACTGCAGGCCCAATGTGGTTTTTTTACTTTTAAGTCTGAGTTACTTTTTCTTTTCATGTTTGTTTGTTTGAACCCAGGGGCACTTTGCATTGAGCCACATCCCCAGCCCTCCCTCCTCCACCCCGACTTTATGTGTGGGTGTGAGTGAGTGTATGTATTATTTAGAGACAGGGTGACAGGGTCTCCTGAATTGCTTAGGGCCTTGGTAAGTTGCAGAGGCTGGCTTTGAACTTGAGATCCTCCTGCCTCAGCCTCCCTAGCTACTGGATTACAGGAGTGTGCCCCCACATCTGACTGAGTTACATTTAATTCTCCACTCTCATTCCTCCCCTCCCTTTTTTCATCAAATAGTGGTTTCACAGGCAATACAGAAACTTTCTAGAACTCTATCTAGTTTCTGTAGAAAGCGCACATAAGCAGTGGTGTGTGTAGTAGGCCCTCGGTAACTATGACCAGCGTGATTTACACATAGTTTTCAGAAGTGCACAGTCCATTTGAAGTAAGACTGAGATGCTGTGGGGCCTGAGTCTTTCCCTTCCTGTTTTCTATCAGTGCCTGGCAGAACTGGAAAGGACCCTACAAAGGAAGAAAGGAGAAAAATCTTTGATCTCCACATCAGAAACGCAGAGAAGTTACAGGCAAGGGTTCACACTTGTGCTCCAGAGAACCCCAGCCGCATCCTCATGGATGTGCTGGACTTTGTGCTCCACCCTTTACACACCTTAAAGTCAGCCCTACAAAGCTGCCTACATCAACCTCCAAGGTTATGCCGTTTAGAATTCTAAGTACACACAATAAGTCCTTTCAGTGGAACATCATCTTTTTATTCTCCTTGTTTTCTTGGTGAAATTGGGTTTTTTTTCCTCAGGTCCACGTGTTTTAGGCCCACTCTGACATTTCAGCAATTTCTTCCGAGTACTCTGTGTGTGTGTGTGTGTGTGTGTGTGTGTGTGTGTGTGTAAATGATTTCCACTTATTAGATTCTTTCCAGTCTGTGCATCCTCGCAGAAGACACCCCGGCAGGCTTTGAGCACTGCTGCTGCTTCACTTCACATAATGAATATTCAGAGGCTGCAGTCATTGAGGACTCAGGTGGCAAAAATAGTAAGGTGATTGAAGCAAACCCTAACATGAAAGCCAAATCTGCATTTCAGTGACTCGAACTCTGATTACAGCAGATTCACATTCCTCATTCTCTGACCCTGGGACCACAGGAGAGGAGAGTCCTGGGGAACCTCCTATGAATCAGGCATCTGTTCCATACACCAACATGCTCCACGTCTTTCTGTATGATGTGTTGTAATCAGCGTGTTGTTTTTAAAAGACAACAAGCCCTTCTGTAGCCCTCTCCACAGAATGCATCGGGGCTGATAACAGCATAAAGGACGCACTGTTGAGACCGGCAATGCATGCATTGTTTTCCTCATAATGCAGTTAGGATCGCCATAGGAAAATTGAGCGTATTTTTTTTATTTTGAAGTCTTATTTTATATATTTTTGTCACCATCAGCAGTTGAACTAAAGTAGGAGCTGCTCCATTCTATGACGGGTTAAATTCTGCTCTGTGCTGATCTAGTGGTGATGTATAAATTGCAGCCCTTTCTTTCTTTTTGAAGGATTCTAAAATAGTTTTGGAGAATCAGTGCTGGATTTTTGCTTCTGCATGTGTGGTGACTCTTGATTTTTCCCCTTTGGAGGAGCATCCTTTGCAGCATTCCCCCTTCCGAGGAATCACTTAGACACTTCCAGCTGGTGGCAGGGGATACAGCCATAATACAGCTTCCTCTGTCCCAGCTGTCTCCACTACGGTCAATGCATTACGATGGCTGCACCCTTGTGTCAAGGCTCAGGTGAAGGAAGGTGTAGGATGGAGTCTGGACCCCACCGTTTGGCTTTCTAAATGCTTCAGCTTCTCCAGCATCTCTGCCTTTTGAATGTCTTCCTGCTTCCAGTCCGAGGCTTTTCTCCAGCGAGTGGGATGCTGCTGCACGCCTGATTAAAGGTGCCTGAGGATATCACCTTTTACACGGAAGCCCTGCGTGCCTGACAGGATCTTTTTCAATGCATTATGGCTCATGCAGCCTCACAATTAAAGAAAAACAGGGATTTAGAGCTCAATGCTGAAGAAGAGACTGAGAAAAAAAGAAAACATCGCAAACGGTCCCGGGATCGGAAGAAAAAGGTAGCTATGTATGCCAGAGCTCAGATCTTGCCTAGATTCTTTTTTTTAATTTGTTTTAGTCTCCTCCTGGCATCTGTGAGAAGCGTGAAGGGGTCTTTTCACATGCTGTATAGAGTGTCAATCGGGTGTGTAAATGGGGAATGGATGGTCTAGCCCTGTAGTGGAGACTGGCCACGGGCTGGGCATGGCGTGGACAGGCAAGGCTTTTCTCCTGGGGAGGGATTGCAGGGCTATGCGGAAGGTGTGTCTCACTTCACAGAGGCACCAGCATGTTTCCACAACACAGGAAGGTGCTGGGAAGGAGTTAAAAGTAGTTTCTGCACGGCCCGGTCAAGGTTAAATGTACTGCGGTGACTTAGGTCTGAGGCAGAGGCCAGAGAGTCAGGCTTTGTACTTCTTAGAGGTCTGTCTCGTGGAAAAGGAGCTTTTGTGCTGGAACTGTGTCACATGCATGCGTTTCTGAGGCTGATCTGTGACCTTAAAGACGTAGCAGAAAAGTCATTTCCTGCTCTGCTGCTTTTCCTCTTTCTTTCCTGGTGCCCCTTATTTCTATAAGGTGCTTTTAGTTTGGTTGTACAATGGGAATAAGCTGCTACAAATAACTTTCTGTTGTGAAATAAAGCTGAAATCACATAGGTTTGCATCTGCCTGCTGGGTGAGTGATTATCCTAAATGCAGGAATTCCCATGACATGGCCGGGACCTGCAGCCTTTAGCACTGATTGCTTGAGCTCTGAGCTCAGGCGTGGATGATCCCCTACTGATACCCCAAGCCAGGGGAGAGAACAGGGAATGTGTTTTAGGTCAGTGGTGTTTCTTTCATAGCCAGAGAGTACTTACTGTTTGGAGGCTTTTCCCTTAAATACAACTGCTAGGGACTGGCTGGGAGTAAGGCCCCCAAAGCACCTTTTCCTCCATGACAATTCATCAAAACAGACTAAAACTCTGTGATTTGAATATGGAAGTCAGGTCATAAAACATTTTTATGTGTCTTTGTGAGAATCCCCAAGGGAAAGATATTCTTAATTTGCCCTGAGCATTGGTGCATGTGCCTTATAAATGATATGCAGGTTTCATCTGCCACAACATGTACATGGCTATTTTTGGTCCCTTTGCCATTTTCTTCCGAGTTGGTGTCTATAGGAGAAGGCTCTCCACCTCTCGTGGCAGAGCAGACTTTGAGAGACTGAATTTGGAGGGCTGTATGTTTAGCTGCAAGATGTTAAATATAGATGGTTCCCACTTTGATAGGCTTGTAAATAAACTTCTTGAATACATTTTCAAAAAAGTGCAAACTTGGGGTAAGAAGTTGTATGCAGGCGTATTCCAAAGCCTTCAACGGCCTGGTGGTTATGAAATGGCCAGGTCTTGCTACATTCTGCTCTAGTTTTATCATATTAGTTTTTTCTAGGGGAAGGTCACTACTGATTGCCCCTTCTCCACACATCTCGGCCCCCACCACTCACACCATGATAGACGGGCTTCTAAGACACATAAGGAAAGAGACGTATATTTGTATAAAGATACCATGTCATCCTTGAAGTCGACACCATATGAAAGAGTTGTTAGCCTTGCCAGGCTTCAGTGCAGCAGTGTCCTGTGGCAGCTTTTGTGCCTGGGCCCCTGTTTGACTTGGAAGCAAAACAGGACAGGGGTGAGGCAAAGGGTGTTTCAGGACTCATTGAACTGCAGCTAATGCTTTGTGGACCCAAATGCTTTGTTATGAATACAGCAGAGCCTGTCTAATGTAAATCTCTTAGCAACCAGAAGGAAACATGGAGAAATATCAATATCACTATTGTAAATGTGCAAACGGATTTAGATGTTCTCAGGACACTCATGAAGTAGATCCAGAAAGTGGCTCATGGATCACACATTCACTGCTGTTGTCCTCATTAATTCATAACATAATATAATAGGTACAGATCAGAGATCCAGTGTGTTATGCCAGGTGCAGTGTTTGTAGTCAGATTACTTCATCAACTACTTTGGTACAGAGTTAAAAATTCAGTTATTTTTGAAGGCACATTCTAGACTTCTTTTAGTGTTATAGCATATTTAACCTTTAGTCCCTACAAAGTGAATTGTTTTGACTCTGAGTTTTTTTTTTTCTTCTTCTAAGATCCTAATTAAGGCCTGAGGGCTACTTTGTTCCATATTATAGGACCCATGCCAATAGAAAAAAAACCTGCTTTTTAAATGTAATTTTCTGGATTATTATGGGGATAGTTGCTCTTATTCCTATGCAGAAGTATCCTCCAGGATCTTTGAGTTACATAAAAGTAGTTCTGAGTGTTCTCATAAAAGCACAAAATAAAGAAGTTTAGGAAGTATCTAAGCCTCTATTATCTACTAGTAGTTAAAAGTGTGTGATTTACAAAATAAAGAATTTGGACCATGGCAATCTTGCAGTTTAGGCTGGGGCAAGCCCCAGATGAACCTGTCTTGATGATATCTTGTGTGACACAGTGTTATACACTAGGGACTATTGATAAGTATTACAATCAAATCATAATGTTGTAGACAGCGCTGGATTCACATTTCATCAGGTTCTTAAGCTGGAGAGTTCCAAGAGTTATAGAGTCTCTATTTTGAATACTCCTAACCATGAATAAGTAATTACCAGTGCCCCCCCCCAGTATAGAGACCTTCTAGGAATTTATAGTTAGTTGAATTTTAATAAATATGTATTTTATTCTTGATACAACTAAAGTAGTATCAAGAAAAAAAGAAATCTTCCCATTAGTTTAGAAGAAATGCTTCTGGATACGTGCATATTTTGATTATTTAAGTGCTTTGCATTCAACCCAGGGCCTTGCTTATGCTAAGCACATACTCTACCACTGAGCTACATACCTGACCCTAAACCTTCATCTTTTATCACCAATTTTTCTGTCTTAAAGGAAAAATAAAAAGAGGTTTTAATGAGTATGTAGTTTGAAACAGCTTAACAATGTATTTACAAATATCTCTTACCTACAGTTTCCCATTGCTTTCCCTGGCTTCTTCCCATTTTTCCCTTCACACTTCTTTCCTGATGGCAGTTGGCAGCCAGTGGAAGATACACCAAAGATAGCCAGAGAGCCCCTAGAAATGTTAATGCTGCATCCCTGGCCCAAACAAACTGTAGAGAGGAGCTCTTCATGTCCCCTGCTTCCAGCAGGTTCCATGACCCATCCTCCCCTGAACCCATGATGGTTTGTGTCACAAATGCCCTTCTTGTGGTGCAAGACATAGTCCCTCAATATCCCTTGTTGCCACTAGCTTCTGGTGCCACATTAACTGCATATTTTGTTGTCTTTGTCATTTCTTCGAAATATATAAAATACATTTCAATTGTGAGAAATATCAAGACAATAACCTTAATATATTCAATAAATGGGTTTTTAAATATACGAATATATGCTCCTCTATGTTGACTATGTTTTGTCAAAAATATTTAAGGCAACCTAAGGAAATTTATACTACAAAAGAAAGTATAATGGGGTTCATTTCTGTGTGTGTAACTGACACAGTGCTAGATACTGGGCTAAGTAGCAACTAATTCTGTGATTAATATAATTTCTGTGTAGTGATGTCAAATCCATAGTTAATCAGTGGGAGAGCAGGAATAAATATTCATTGCTTCATCTTGTATTCACATATTCTTTCAGCAAACGTTTATCGAGGGACTTCTGTGGACCACACATTGCATCAAATGTTGGAGACAAAACTGAACCAAGAGTAGTGGCAACAGTTGAGTGGCTCCCGTAGAGTTGATAAAGTCAAGAGCATCACCCATCACCCAAGCTAAGGTCTGAAAAGTCAGTAGCCACAAGAGCCCATAGAAAGACCCCCACATGACTCTGATGGACTCAGAAGAGTCTCTGTGAAGCTAAGCCTTAGAGGAGGAGTCAAAGCAGAAGAACAGGAACCCCATGCTCAAAATGATGGAAGTAGGAGAGGCTATTTGAATATGAGGGAAATAAACAATATTGGAAAGCTTTCAGCCAAGGAGGGCTGAGTTTGTACTAAGAAAAATAGGTGGGGGCCGGGGCATGAAGACTCACATATGCCCCCTTACAGGGTTTGGAAACATGCCTGCTGAAAGGAGGGAGAAACTTCCATGGTGGTTGTAGGCAGAGCAGACCGTGAATAGCTTTATGGTTTGGCGCCATTGCTCACGCATCAGTGTCGTAGACAGCAGCAGGGAGAGCAGTCGGGAAGCTCTGATGAGATCCAGGCATGAGATGCCGAGAGGCTGAACCATGGGGAGACTCTGCCAATGGAGAGGGGGTGTAGCATGCGAAAGATATTTAAGGGAAGACTCAGTAGAACTTGGCAATGGATGATAGGTAGGAAGTGAGAAAGGGAGATCAGATTCTAGGGTAACTGCCAAGTTCCTGGCTTCAAGGGGAAGATGAAGAATTGAATTTCCTGGATTTGTGTCTTTTCTCCCTGGACATTTCTTGACCATTTATTATGTATCCAAGTTTTACATTGCTTTGTAGGCAGGGGCTCACGATAATGTACAAAGAACGTGTTTTTATTTTCTCCATTTTGTAGATGAAGAAATTGAAGCATGAACGTTCAAGTTAGTTGCCAGAAGTTCCCACAGTGGTTGATGGGAGAGAGAGGTTCTGGTTGGGTCAGTCCAGCTTTCTGGCTTGTGTTCTAATCACACTACGTGACATTAATAGTGAGCAGCATTAATATTTTCATAGCTATACATCAGAGTCAGCTTATTTCAGAAAATCTTGTAAATCATCTATTTCTTACGCATCTGAAACTTTAAATAGACTTTGTGTCTCTAAGTAACCCACTATTGTAATGGGTCTGTTTTTCTTAATTTTTATAATAGATTTTAATGTTTTGCCTAAAGGTACTCTTTTTTAAAAAAAATTTTTTTTTGAAAGATAAGAATAAAAATGACCAACACCAGGACTTCAAATCCTCAAGGACACATTGGTGTAAGGACAACATGACAGTGTGTAGATGCTTGATGGTATGTCAGGCAGTGTG